GCGGTGCGCCATAGTTTTCTTTCTTACTTTTGTCTTTGGCTCGTTAATCCTGCCAGCAAGGATGTGTCTTGGCCACCACTCAAGGCCAGAGATGAAGAGATCTATTGAGGCCACAAGTCTCTGACGTAGACAACATGTATTAGCGAGAAGACATTAGAGCTCGAGTAGAAATGAGTTGAATTTTGAACCTCACAAATCATGTGCTGGAATCTACCTCCGTCGCCAAACGCCATCTCCTTTTCTCCTTTTCTCCTATTCTCCATTGGAGGAGATTCAGGATCCGTCCGGGGTCATGGCGCGGGGTAGTGGCCGTCCGGGGTAAAACTGGCCGAGCCCATAGCCCGCGGATGAATTGACACCGAGCCGTGTCTGACTCTGGGATTCGTTAGGCTCTTTAAAGATCGATGGTATTTATCTTGGATCCTGCACGTCCTATGCCCCCCCCTCCCCCCACACTGAGCATAGTATTCCACAGAGATAAAGCATCATGAGTATCCGATTTCATGCTAGGAGGCAAGCGTTCGAAGACATTCTAAACGGGTCACGTTTGTTGAACATTTGCCTGCGCTACAGCGCTAACCTAATAATTTAATAATTAGCGCTTATCCTCTTCCAGCTCCTCGGTTAAATCTACTCGCTCATTATGATAGGCTTGACAGAATTGAACCACCCTCACAGGGAATCAAAGGGGGCGGAATTCAGAATGCGCAGAAAGAAAAAAAGCTTGGGACGGGGCTCAGGCATGACTCGCTAACTGAAGGAGGGAGAATCCTGGACTCCTACAACCCTAAGCAGGCAATTCTCCGGCGGATGGAACGCCACCGTACCACCAAATTGCCACTTTAGTAGACCCCGCAAATGAACCAGTACATTTCCTCCCGGCTAGTACCTATCAGATTACTTTGTTCGACAAATAATCAAGTGACACTGCTACCGTAGTGCCCGGGGGGATGACCGCCATGTACGGAGATGTTGGGCTGAGGAGGTCAAGGCCCGGAGTAAGCTTCACTCAATTAAGCTAAGATCGGGATCACCATCACGAGCGTGTTGTCGCAGGTATAAAGATCTGAAGCCCCCAGTCGTGCCTCTCTCTCTTTTGTTCACCCATTTCGCTCAGAAATCGTCAACATGAACGACACCACAGAGAAACCCTCAGCGTCAGAGGTCGAGGCGCAGCCCAGCTCCCTGGGCGGACCTGTTTACGATGTCGGCGAGAAGGTCGACTACGACAGGGCGGGTGCCATCAATGCCGAGGAGGTCGAACATAATATGACTGTGCTCGAGGCTGTCAAGGCCTATCCCGCTGCCAGCTGGTGGGCATTCGTAATGTCGTGCACCATTGTAAGTTCTTGCCCATGATGGGCAGATCATTTCTCTAACGTTGCGATAGATCATGGAGTCATACTGTGTTTTCTTAATGGGACAGTTCATAGCCACAAAGCGATTCGCCGAGGACTTTGGTGTATGGAGCGAAGTAGCAAACGGGTATATTATCGAAGCTTCATGGCAGTCAGCATTCCAGTGCAGCGGGCCAATTGGTGCCCTCATTGGTGTATTCGTCGCGGGCCCCATCACCAGTTGGATTGGATATCGATGGGCAACCATTGGCGGTCTCATGTTTTTGAACGCCTTCATCTTCATCTTCTACTTCGGCAACAGCCAGGGGATGTTTTTCGCATCCCAGATCCTGGAAGGCATCCCGTGGGGTATTTTTATCGCCAATGCACCCGCCTACTGTGCCGAAATTGTTCCAATGAGATTGAGAGCTCCAGCGACACAGATGTTGCAGATGTTCTGGGCTATTGGGGCGATCATCGTCGGTGGTATCACTTTCCACTACCAATCCAAGGATGACCCGTCATCGTACAGGTTCGTTCGCTCCCACAGTTGCTATCGAGGAGCACTGTACTAACAGTTATCCCAGAGTTCCCATTGCACTCCAGTGGATGTTTCCTACTCCCCTCGCTATCCTACTCTTCCTTGCGCCTGAATCGCCCTGGTGGCTTGTGCGAAAGGGGCGTCTGGCCGACGCAGAGAAGGCTGTCAGACGCCTTGGACGCGCGAGTGCAAATGATAATCCCGCTGACGCAGTCGCAATGATGCGTCGCACGATCGAGCTCGAGGCTACTGAGAAGAAGCCCAGTCTCATTGAACTGTGGAAAGGTACCGATCGATACCGCACATTGATTGTGTGCGGTGTGTACGCATCTCAGAACCTGACGGGCAATCTGATTGCTAACCAAGCGGTTTACTTTTTCAAACGTGAGTCCAGCCATTTCCTGCAACCTTACAGCAGACTAACACCAGCTCAGAGGCCGGCATGGCAGACAACACCGCATTTGCACTCGGTCTCATCACGTCTGCCCTCCAGTGGGTCATGGTCATGCTCTCTTGGGTCCTCACCACATACCTCGGCCGACGCACCATCTATGTCTATGGTCAATTCATCAACTGTGCATTCTTGGTCGCGCTCGGTATTGCGGCTTCGGTTGGCATGAGTAATGCGTCTAGCAATGCGCAAGCCTCACTCGGCTTGATCGTCTCCGTCCTGTTCTGCTTGGGACCTGCCCCTGCCTCATGGGTCATCATCGGCGAGACATCTTCCGTTCGTCTCAGGCCACTGACAACCGGTGTTGGACGAGGTGCCTACTACTTGGTCAATATTCCTTGCATCTTCCTTTCCAGCTACATGCTCAACAACGACAAGTGGAACCTGGGCGGCAAGAGCGGCTACATCTGGGCTGGCACCGCCTTTATCTGCACCGCCATGGCTTGGCTCTGGGTTCCAGAGATGAAGCACAGGTCCTTCCGTGAGATTGACATTCTCTTCAAGCGTCATGTCCCGGCTCGCAAATGGAAGCAGACGGTCGTCGATATCCACGATGATGAGTAGATGGAAATTGCTGTTCAGAGAGGCCCGAGTGGTACTGCTTGTGCAGGAATGGGCGGTAGAGATGAGTTCCTTACTAGATACTTACAGGTAATTATTTTCAAGTTGAATTGAAGGCTGAGAATCAAGGCTGAATGTACTGTATCTTCTACTATCGTCGGTAATGGCCACTGCAGTACCAGGCTTGCTTCCGGTGTGTCCGATTTAAGAGGTGATCCTGACAGAGGAGGATAGGGGAGTCTGTTTTATGTACACAAGCTTTCTGCCCTCGCTTTGCCTAGGCTGTAAGTGCAATCTAATTATGTAATCTAAGTTAAGTATTGGACTACTTGTCTGCACTAGGTTATATGCTATAGGTCCACTGTGCTTAGCTAGGGTAGTAGTAGATTAGTTGTAGATGCACCCGCACCTACGCAGTAGACAGACTTATGCCTGCTGACATTATATTGCACCGGCCCATATTAGGAATAACACGAATGGATCAACTCCCTCCTCCAAACACTCATTGAACGCAAATTATCACTGCGCAGAGTGCCTTGCTTATTTGATTCAATCATAATAATCGTAGAGATTTCATCGACGATGTGTGCATATTCGCACTGAGTGGGCCGTGAGAAATAGGTATTGTCCGACCTAGATGAATTTATATTTTGAAGATCCCCAATGGGCCACATATCATTGGTAAGGCGTGGCAGCAAATAATGGCTGGGGAGAAAGTTCCACAATGCTAAAAGGCTTCATGTGGCCGTAAAGGTCGGTGATCCTGGGGATGTAAGTATCATGGACAGAGGCTCCCCGAATATCCTCGGGCCTTGAAATTCAAGTCTCTATCTTGATCATCTTCATCTCTGCTTATGAATCAAATGTGTTAGCCAATGTCTCGTACCAGTAGTCTCAGTCCTCGCCATCATCTTGGATAAATGTTGGCGACTAGGGAATTTGGCTTCAGCACTTGGGTTTTCGTTTGTTTTTCGACCGCAAATAGACGATCATACTAAGTATAACCGCACATGTTGAAATATAAACTCTTTGATTTGCGGCGTGGTTCGCTCAAGCTCTTCATAAATGATTTAATTTTCAAAGTCAATACTCATGGATATGTCTCTGAATGACAAGCATTGCAAATTTATCTCGGGGAGAAAATCGATTTTTGCTATAACAGAAAAGTCGTCTTACATCCTAGCTTCCTTCGCATTCTTGGCGTCGGAACTCGTGGAGTTGTCGTTGACACAGGTGATTGGGTCCAAGTTTGAGATTTAAGAAAGAGAGATCATCTCAATAGTGTGGCTGGTCAGTCTTGAGGAAAATTGCTTCTTGTCATTGAAAGATGAGTGCCGCGGCTCTCACACTCCAGATCATCCAGGGCATTCGACACCCCTGGACTCAAAGCGAGGCCCTGCCTCTATCACATACGATTTTTTCTGAGGGGTTCAGGATGTGCGAGGATTGGTATGTGCTGCTCCAGTCACTAATGCTCGGATTAAGATCTAGCCTGGAGATGTGCTCACGTTGTTTGGGTGCTGTCTCTCAGCGGACGTAGACCGCAATTGCGAAATCGATGCAGCGGGCATGAATGTTGCTATGCTGAAGGGGCTTGCACTACCAGATATCATTGCCCAACTTTGTAAGAAAATGAGTCCGCCCGACCCTTGGAATGCCCAGGCCGAGGATCTGCCGGCACCATTGATAACGACGGCGCCTTTGGATTATTTGTGGCGGCTAAGTCCCTGCTCCGGGGTGGGCCCACCTGACTAGTTATGGCCCCAGCGAATCAAGATAGAATCTTAGAAGAGAGTTTCTCGGGGAGTCGCGGAAGAAATAAATTGATCAAATCTCCACTTGCCGCAACTCCCCAGCGGCAAAAAGATTATACATGCATAATGGCTCGTGTATGTACCCCAGATGTGTGACCCTAGGTTACCCATGCACATAACACGTCAAGTTATCCACTTCCCGTGTTCCCGCAATGAGCATCTGGGGTAAGTCATAAACTCTTTATCACTAGTATGCAAAATACATATAAGCTCTATCACTAGCCCCATAACAGCCCAAGACTTAACTCGGAGTTTCAATCGTACTGCCAGAGACGTGTCACCAAGCTTCCCACGATATGGACTCATCGAGGACAAAAGAATCAGAACTGGCTGTTGGCTCCAGGCTCCAGGCAGTGAGTAGGACTACAGACTTCCTATTTGAAGGATGAACGGCCTAACTTATATAGATACTCCCCTCACAATCCAAACCATGGTATTTGACCGGGCATCTCCTGCGATTGAACTTTCTCCTCATTTCACCGCTGCTTTCATCAGCATCTGTTGGTTATGATGGTACCATCCACACAGTCTAAGTAAATTCTGAACTTTTCTTCTGACCAGAGTTGCTCCAGGCTCGATGATGAATGGCCTGCAGACTCTAGTTCAGTGGCGTGAATTCTTCGGACACCCTCAAGGCTCAGTTCTCGGGCTCATGAACGTTGTCTATCCGCTCGGGAAGGTTGTGTCGCTGCCCCTGATCACCTTCGTGTCTGATCGATACGGGCGGAAGATCCCCCTGGCGGTCGGACTCGTAGCATGCATTGCATTCGCTATCATGCAGGGTCTCGCACAAAATTTCGCCACGTTCGTGACAGCTCGTGCTCTTCTTGGCTTTAGCACAAGTTTTGTGACCCAGCCGAGCCCCATGCTTATTACCGAGCTCGCATACCCAACCCACCGCGGAAAGATAACAGCATTGTACAACACATTTTTTGTATGACTTTCAATATCCATTTCATTGCTAAGTCAGCTTTACTAATCTGGTTATGAATATTAGTACGTGGGTTCTATCATTGCAGCGTGGTGTACTTACGGAACTTTCAAAATCAACAATAACTGGAGCTGGAGAATTCCATCGATTGTTCAAGGGGCTCTACCGATATTGCAAGTCTCTATGATCTTTTTCGTTCCCGAGTCTCCAAGATATTTGATATCTAAAGGCAAAGTGGAACAAGCTCGCAAGATTCTTGTAGACTGTCATGCGGGAGGTGATGTAGACTCACCTCTCGTCGAATTTGAAATGAACGAGATCGAAGAGACCCTGAGAGCCGAATCCAGCGAATTATCTTCGACCTCATGGCTTGATTTAATTCGAACACCTGCAAATCGCCGTCGAACTTTGATTGCCGTTATTGTTGGCTGGTTCAGTCAGTGGTGTGGTGTGGGTGTTGTCAGTTACTACATCACGCTCGTACTAGACACGATAGGTATTACAGAAGTCAAGGATCAAACCCTTATTAATGGACTCCTGCAGATATTCAACTTTCTAGTCGCCTCTTTGATTGGTGCGATGCTAGTCGATCGTGCTGGAAGACGGAAATTGTTTCTCATCTCCACGGCAGGGATGCTTGTCAGCTATGTGATCTGGACTGCACTGTCGGCGCAATTCAACCAGACAAAATCGCAGCCGACCGGTCGGGCTGTTGTGGCCTTTATCTTTGTATACTACTTCTTCTACGACATTGCTTGGAGTCCCCTCCTGCAGGCCTACTCGGTGGAAATTTTCCCTTATACCCTACGTGGTCGTGGGTTAACCGTCACTTATCTTTCTGCTTTCGTGGGTCTCATCATCGGAAACCAGGTCAATTCCATCGCCTTGAGCAACATTGGTTGGAGATACTACATTGTCTTTTGCTGCCTTCTTGGGCTGACTCTCGTCTTGATTTGGTTCCTGTTCCCGGAGACCAAGGGACGCACCTTGGAAGAGATTGCCGAGGTATTTGAGGACAGAAACCAGAACCACCCTAATAATGATTTCCACAAGGGTGGAGCTGCAGTGGATGACCGGGCAGAAAAGAACGAGTGTTGGTCTCAACACCGGGAAACCGAGGAAATTTCAAGTGGAAGCAGATAGTTCATACCTGTTTCAAGTCTCTGTTATCTTGAACCTATCATGAGGAAGATATCGACTCATTAATCCATTGTCAAACCCATTTCTGAGCTTCTTTAGATTTCATATTAGATGCAGATTGCTGTATTTAGCAGTCTGTGGTTCTGAGATATTACTTAAGTTTGCGAGTATTTCGTAGGAGGTATATGGCCTCTTTCTAATGTTCATGGAGCGCCTACTCGGACACTTGTTTTTTCTAAAACTCTACTTTAGGTTAGATGAAATGCCGATGGTATTGCTGCATGGGAGCTGTCAAGCGGGGTTTGTTTTCTTCTCTCCCCATTCTTTCCCCTCTAGGGCATGCTGTATTCAGTTTCCGAAGGCAAGCGTGCCATATATGAAATTTATGGAAGAACTAGTCCCAGGCATCGAATCAAAAGGACCGACGGTCTAGATCTCATGGTCAAAGCGGGTTTCTCCCCGGTCTCGACAGGAGGATTTGACGTCGGAACGCGTTCTGATTAGTCGATATGCCATTGCCCTCAAACCACCGAGATTTCTACCGATATTTAAGCGGCCACCCCCACCGAAAAGGGCGGGGTCCAAGGCAGTTCAGACCCATTGATAATGTCCGCCACAATTGATTCAATACTCAGCTCTTTAAGTTTGAAGGAGAAGGTAGAATTCACTCGTATCTTGAAACTTGAAGGACCGAATCTCACTCGTTTAGATCTCTCTTCTTGCTGGACACACATTCTCCGAGACCGCTATCATACCAGAAAAGGGGGTTCCATCAATAAGGGTAAGAAAAAAACTCCCCATTTTATGTCCATCCACTTATGGCTTGATAGACGGCGGATGGTCCCAATGGAATTCGCGCTCCAGCCACGAGTCCGGATGTGCGCTCAGCGTGTTTCCCAGCTGCCAGTAGCTTGGCAGCCAGTTTTGATCTCGACCTAGCGAGGCGCTTTGGAGAGGCCCTGGGAGAAGAAGCCAGAGCAAAAAATGTAAATTGTGTCCTAGGTCCAACTGTTTGCATTCACCGTCACCCATTGGGAGGCCGGAACTTCGAGAGTTTCAGTGAAGACCCTTTGCTAGCAGGTCGACTAGCTTCCCAAGTGATACAAGGATTACAGCAGAAGAAGGTTGCAGCAACTATAAAGCATTTTTTTGCTAATGAACAAGAGACCCAAAGAACCTCTGTCAATGAGACGATTAGTGAACGCGCGTTGAGGGAGATCTATCTCCGTCCGTTCGAGATCGCCATCAAGGAGGCCAACCCTTGGGCTGTCATGACGGCCTATAACTCGGTCAATGGGACTCATTGTGACTCCCATGAATTATTGGAGAAGACTTTACGTGGAATTTGGAGATGGGAGGGCCTTGTTATGAGTGACTGGGGTGGGACAAATTCGGTAGCTGACGCTCTCAAGGCCGGCTTGGATCTGGATATGCCAGGGCCACCTAGGGTACGCGAGTTGCACCGTGTTATCGAGTCAATCGAAAAAGGGGGAATTTCGAAGAATACGATCGATGACCGAGTACGTGAAGTTCTACGTCTAGGTTTGAAGCTTGAAGACCTGTGGAAAGATGCCAATCCAATTGAAGACAAAGTCCACCAAAGTTGTCAAAACTTGATACGCGAAGCTGGTGCCCGAAGTATTGTGCTTTTAAAGAATGATCAAGGGATCCTACCGTTATCCGTGGATAAAACGAAAGGGAAGAAAATTGCTCTGATTGGATACGCGAAAAATGCCCTTGCTCATGGAGGTGGAAGTGCCAGTGTCAATGCGCACTACAAGGTTACCCCTGAGAGTGGCCTGAAAGCTGCTTTTGGGGATGATGTTGAGTTCTCCTACGCAAAGGGTGCCCATTTTGAACGTTTATTACCACCACTTTCTTTAGAAGGCACATTTGGCACTGTGGTCGGCCTGGATGGTGCTCCTGGCTTCACACACCAGCTTTTCGATGCAGCTACAGAAGAGCTAGTTATAAAAAAAGACGGATGTCCATTGTCTGTTTATTCGCCCCTTGGCTCTAATGAGTCTCGTGATAAGGTTGTCGAGATCATTGGCGACTTCACACCACTTGAGACAGGGTCGCACTACATCGCCAGCTCTGGATTTGGACCCACTCGGGTATTTATCAATGATGAAAAGATTTTCGAGCAGAAGAATAATACTGCAGACCCTATGGGATCTCTATTTAACGCTGCTCCAGAGCCCGAATCGCGGTATTCTTTCATGGCAGGCCGGACGTACCGTATCTGCCTGCGCACAGAGCCACCAAGAAACATTGGGTTACAAATATTAGAAGGACGCAGTGGGGGCCGACTTGGATTCTCACCTGAATCTATCCATGATGCAGATCTGAAAATGGAGGCTGCACAGGTGGCAGCGAACGCGGACTTCGCAATCGTGTTCACTGGTCACCACCCCATTGGGAGACTGAGGGACAGGACCAAGCTTCTTTCCATCTACCTCATGATCAAGATGGACTCATCTCTGCTGTTGCTGATGTGAATAAGAATGTTATTGTCGTCAATTCAACAGGTGTCGCGGTAGCTATGCCATGGCTCAATAAGGTGAAAGGCATAATGCAATCATGGTTCCTTGGTCAGGAATGCGGAAACGCGATTGCCGATGTTATCACTGGTGCCGTGAACCCCGAAGGCCATCTTCCTGTTAGCTTCCCTCGCTCTATTGAAGATGCTCCTGCCCACGGAAATTTCCCAGGAACCCATGTTGATGGCCAGCTTCAGGTTAACTATGCGGAGGGGGTTTTCGTTGGCTACCGTCATTATGATAGAGGATCCCCAGACGCTCTGAATTTTTCATTTGGCCATGGACTTTCCTATACAAAATTCAGTTCCCGGGATTTGAAGATCCTAGAAATCAACAAGGAAAGGCTGAATGTATCGGTCGAGGTAATCAACCTGGGACCAGTCCCTGGACGAAGTCTAATCCAGCTTTATTTGGGCCGGAAAGAACATACGAATGAGCATCCTATTCGAACCTTGGCTGGATTCAAACAGGTTTGGGTCGAATTGGGGGGACAAGAGACTGCAGAACTCTGTATCAATCTAAGAGATATCTCGTTTTACGATGAGAAGCGGGACGGCTGGAAGATTGACGCAGGAGAATATCATTTGCAACTGGGATCGTCCTCGGCGGATATTTTGGAAACAACGGATATCTTATTATTGGAGAGCTTTTGGAAATTGTGAAATGATCCCGCGCTCCAAGGTTACCATTATACGTATAGTGGTTGAACATAGCAAAAATATGCTCCGTGCGTTGGATTTTTGACGTTTTTAGCATGCGCAGTTTTGACTTTCCGAAACGAGTAGATTGAAGCTAATGACCTATTTCTATTCAGGCCTGAGCTAGCCCCTTAAGCTAAAATCCTGCCTGAAGAATCATCCTAAAAAGTTCAATATCTTTTTTCGCATCCTCGGCACTGCTTTTAGGCGTCTTCCCGTTTACAACACAATCATAGAGGTCCAAAAGCTCCAGAGTATATGGATCCTCGTAGGTTTTGCGAATTTTCCTCTCCTGGAAACCGTCTCCAACCTTTTCACGAATTAGGAGAGTAACTGGAAGCCCTTTAATGTAAGGATTGTCGAATATAACGCGTACAGTCTTCTGTGGAGACGCCACTTCAATGTGCGCATCGAAGAAGGGAATATCAGAGAGACCCGATTCATACACAACCGGAAAGTTATCGTAGCGGAATAAGACGCTAAAAATTCCGGGTAGTGTGAGAACTGCACCGGCAACGCTCTGAGGCATTCCAATTATCTCTCTCATGGCCGATAAACTATGAGTCCCAAGACTGCGAACGTCAGCTTCAGTTTGAGGTGATTTGGTGACAGCAAAAGGACTTACCCCCCCAAAACTCTTAGCATCCTCAACGATTGTGGAGTAGCCTCTAACCCAAACTCCTTACTTATGGCCTGCTCGTATATGTCGGCCTCTTTGTTGGCTCGACCACACGAATCTTCCTTGGAGAAATCATCGAAACGCTGGGGAAATGTGCCTGACTGCGATACTGCAGTCGCATTTGGTCCAATCACATCCCTGACACGAGCATAAGTAATTTTTTCCATTTTTCCAACCTCCTCGACTGCATCGACAAAAGCAGCCGCATAACGACGCATGGTTCCCACGAAAACCTTTCTCTTGGAAGTCTTTTCAGCCTCGATAAGTCGGTCAATATCGCGCAGACAGATCGAGGCAGGCTTCTCAATCAAACAGTACTTCTCATTTTGAAGCGCAAGAATTCCATGCTCGACATGGTATGCATCTGCATTTGCGATCAAAACGACATCCACGTCAGGGGAAGCACAAAGTTCTTCGGCATTGGTGGTGAATTTGGGCGTTCCGCCAAGGACGCGTTGTGCACAATGGCGGAGAGATTGCTGAGAAATATCGCAGAGGTATGTTGTCCGGAATCAATGAGCGAGAAAATTGATGTTGGGAATATGTGCAACTTGAGAAATTTCGCCGCAGCCAATGATTCCCACACGGAGTATAGGATCCTGATGAATCGAGCCCATTTTTCTCTTGCAGATTTAGGTGAGATAGTAAATATGTATCCCAAAAATCTCCCTAGAAGCTCTGAAGGGAAATCGATCTCGGCTTACCGATATTTATCTTTATTTTGACCTTTGCCATAAGATAAATCTCAACGTCGAGTAGATATGAAGCTTCCTAGTCGAAGACCCACTCGATAGCGATCTCGCGGAGTTGCGGAGTTGCGGGGTGCTCAGTCCTCTCCGGGGAGTCTCGGCAACAAACAGACATCTACTTCTACGGGTAAACTTCGGGATACTTGATTACTCCACTAGAATAACCCGGCCTTGGAAAGTTTAAATTACAGATGAAATATTAATCCGTCGCATTCAAAGGAGCTCCGAAACCCTGCCAGGAGGCTGCTTGAAGGCATCACGAGTCGTGAAGCGATTATCCAGCCTCAAGTTACATTATTCTCTCCCAATATCTACCGCCCGCCTGAAGTCACTAAATAGTCTCACTCATTCCCCATGACGAATAACGAACTTCCCGCTCTTCGATGGGGTATTGTTGGCACTGGCCTTATCTCGTCATGGTTTGTAGCCGATTTGACAATTGACCGAGCGAACAGAGGGGCAAACCACACCATCCAAGCCATTGGCTCCTCGTCGGTACAGAAGGGCCAAGAATTCGCAAGTCAACATCTATCAGGCCATACCCCGACCATCTACGGAAGTTATGCAGAGCTATACAATGATCCCAACGTTGAGATAGTCTATATCGGAACGCCTCACGCCTTCCACAAGCAGAATGCTCTTGATGCCATCCGGGCGGGGAAACACGTGTTGTGCGAAAAGTCATTCACTTTGAATGAGCGTGAAGCAAAAGAAGTCTTTGCCGAAGCAAGGGGGTACAATGTATTTATCATGGAGGCAATGTGGACTCGCTTCTTCCCTTTGGTGCAGAAGTTGCGTCAACTGATCCATGTGGATAAAACAATTGGCGACGTTCATCGGGTTTGGTGTGATTTTGGCTTGCCTAAAGATATTGCCTCCTTGCCGATTACTTCACGCTACAAGGACCCAGCGCTCGGGGCTGGCAGTTTGCTCGATATTGGGATCTACAGTTTGACTTGGGTGATATTGGCTCTAGAATCCAATCTACGGACGGAGACACCTCAGGTCCTTGCGACGCAGAAAATTGTGCATCATGTGGATGTTGCAACCTCTGTTTTGCTAAATTATCCCGATGGGAGACAAGGAGTCGCTACCAGCACTTTCGCAAGTAAGACTCCTGCCAACTTTTGTCGTATTGAAGGAACCATCGGCTCGATTGTGGTCGAGGGATTGGCTGCGTCGGTCCCTACATCATTTACAATTCAACTGCGAAACGAGGAACCCCAAAAATACGAATTTGAACGGCCAGGTCGGGGCTTCTACTGGGAAGCTGATGCAGTTGCCATTGACATTGCAGCTGGAAAGACGGAGAATGACATTATGCCATGCGATGAGACAATCCGCATCATGCATCTCCTAGATGAGATCCGGCGGCAGGGAGGCGCTCAATTCCCGCAAGATTTAGAATAGCTTGTTGAAAATACGATCCGGACATATACTTTTGCAACATAAAATGTAAATTGCAATGAGAGTGCATAGACCTGGCCTCATCTTCCGTTGTCAAAATATTTGGGATATTGGTTTGTTCTCTTTCATACTCAATAACCTGATTTTAACATTCATTAAGATAGGCTGTCCGAGCTATCGTACAAAAAGCCATGAGGGGTAGGGACTTTTCCAATTTGAGCCTTCTTTCTATCTCATTCGTGCAATGAAAATTAGGCCCACAACAATTTCTGACATCCGGTCGGATCGGATCAGGTAATGGTTGGTTGGATCGTTTGTGTCCTAGTATGGGTCGCATCTAATACCCCGCAAAATCTAGATCCGCAACTCCCCGACCCCAAGCCATCCTCCCCACACATGAAAGTCGTGGGACAGCTAAAATTGAAGAATGAACAGTCCGATAATCCCAGACGCCGAGAAAAAGGGGAGGAAACGAGCGCGTGTTTCTGGAATGTATCAGCGCAAGAGAGCAGTGACCGCGTGTCTGCCGTGTCGAAACCGAAAAACCAAGTGCGACAATATTCGACCAGTTTGCGGTTTTTGCGTCACGCACGATGCCCAATGTACCTATCCTGATGTGGCAAATGATCACTCGTCGTAATATCCACACCTCATCTTAAGCGTGGTCCATTGTTTATTCACTGATGTTTGTTTCTGCTGCAGCTTTGATCCTGCAAGTCTTGCTATCTTGGAACGAATCAACCACGTGGCTTCACTGATTGAAAGTAAATCATCAAAATCATTACAGAGTCCTCAATTATCGGGGAAATCATTTTTACACCCTGCTTCGGCCACTGAAAATCCCCCTGGAGATACCCGGGATGCATTTCATCACTTCCAGATAAACGACGAATCCTATGTTGAAACGCCGGGTTTTCCTGCAAACAGAAGCAATTGCGAGTCAGTTCTACAATGGCCCATCTTTTATAACCTTGTGCCCGATACGAAGTCATTTGTTCTTGGTCCTAACAACGGCCCCAATTCCCCACCGTCAACTCGTGTTCATCCTACCAGTCTGGGGCGAGGAATTCGCGAAGAGGATTTTATCCTCCTTTCCCAGCGGTTTTTGCTTTATGTGCATGTTAAAAATCCCATCTTAGAAGTTTCTGATTTCACCCATCTAGTTAGAGAAGTTGCTGAGACCGGGCTTCGATGGGATGGTTCGACATGCTTAATGGTAAGGCTTCTCCTTCAAATACAACCCCCCCTGCCACCTCGCCAATACTTATTCTTCTCCCGGATCTCAACAGCTTCTCGCATGTGCATTGGGCTGTATTTCAGAGCCCTTTGAAATGCATGAAAGTAGACTTCAGCAGTCGTCAAGCACGGCCAATACTCCTTTCACCGAGGAAATGGCCACTGCCTATTACTTCGCAGCGAAGAAGCGCCTAGGCCTCATTCCGCCGTCCTTACTCGAAATTCAGTGTTTGTTTCTATGTGGAATATTGGAGATGTATCTCTTGAATGCTCTCGGTGCGTGGCATTACTTCAATCAAGCTTGTGTGCAGCTTCGAAATCTATTCTGGAGGCAGGGATATACCGGTCTCAGTTTTGAGCAGTACATCTCCCGTGAACCAGGGCGTCTAGAGCAGCGGCTTTATTGGTCTTGCATGAAATCAGAATGGTAGGGTTCCTTATGTTTTTTGAAGACTAGGCTCTGCAAATCATCATTCCCCGCATTTCTAATACCGGCAACATAGTGAGCTTCGTTGCGAGATATCACTCCCATCAAGTGGAATCACTCGATCTGGGTTTCCGGATATCCTTCCTTCTCCGCCGCATCAAATACTTTCATCAACGATCGATACCCCAGAGGACCCATCGACGGTGCTGGAAGACGAGGAAGAGAGAAGTTGGTTCTATTATCTTGCAGAAATATCATTTCGCAGAATCATGAATCGCGCATACGTGGTTATGGGCGAGAAGCAAGATGCCGATTGGATTAAAAATATTCAGCAGCTCATCTATCATCAAAAGACATTAGAGGAGGAAATCAAACTCTGGTATGTCTGAGACGTGCCGGCGAATGGAATGGAAACTGCCCCTTTGATGATACAAGTATATAATATGGATTTGACTAATTGCAACTTCATGAAGGTGCTCGCATATCCCGCCGAGGATCAATTTAAACCAAAGCGAGGGCTTCAATAGTGAACTAGCCTACTTTGTTCAAGGACGTGGGATATCTTGCCGTGAATGGATTCACCGACCATTCCTCTACTATGCAATACACCAGCCTGCCGAAGACCCCATCATGCCACAGATAATGCCACTTGCTCAAGAATGCCTCCGCTTGTGTGTCGAGTGGCAATCCAATGTTCTACCATACCATCTGCATCATGGCACCTGGTATCAGGCTCGCTCGTCAGCGACTCGAGCCCTACTGCTCATTGCTGCTTTTAGGAGTGGGACAATCGAGATGCCATTGAACTGGAAACATACAGTTCAGCTTGCATTGAACTGCTTACAACACTGGGCTAGAGATGGCTCAGATATTGCCCAGGCAGCTGACTCTGTGCAGAGCTTATTCAATATGACCTAGAGACTTGAATCTAAGATGGTGGTTACACTGATGAATCATACTATACTTGAAATGGCGCGGCCGACATAGACGTTACTACCTCGGCCCCTATATTCATACTTCTTTGAACCGTGACTTAAAATGGAATTACCTACTAGTAATAAACCAGAAACAATAATTTGCAATTATAGATATTGTGATTCATTCCAAGGGGCTACCAATGACTCAAAAAGGAGAAGCCAGATTGTCAAACAGGAGTTAGTCCAAGCACTGCATGGTTACAACGTGGCCTCTCCGCCCGCTGTTAAGTCCGATCCGCGATAACCTCACCTCTCCACCTCACTCTTGCACCACCCATCTCCCTACAATTCATACCACACTCGCCCTTCACAATGGTAAGTCAAACCATAGCTGTGTCTCCGTCATTTCATCCATTTGCTAACTTTACTTCTAGGCCCAAACACCCCAACAACGACGCGCAAACGACCGCTTCGCGAAGAGCGAGGCAGCCAAGCGCGGTCGAGGACCGACCACAAAGGCCCCCAAGCAGTCATCTAAATCACCCCTCTCTGCGGGTTGGGTTGGTATGTTTACACAAGATTGCAGATCAAAATCCGAACCCAAAGCTATATGCAACTTCCCAGCAACTCTCAAACTAACCTATCTGTTCATAGTTGTTCTTGCCTTCGTCGTCTGCGGTGGTCTCCTTCTGGAGCTTCTCCGAGTTGTCCCAGAGCTGTGGTCAACCATCGCCGCCATGTTCTCTCGCATCACTGGATAAATGCCCCAGAAATGGTGGTCGCCTCGATTTAAAAGATACCCCCAATCCCAACCCCAACCTCCCTTCCCCGAAGCCGAATCGGACTCAAACAACCCTTTGTGCTGTACCTCTACCTCTCAACCCCCCCTGTCGCGACCGCGTTCGCGCAATTGTTCCGCTCTCCGCCCCATACCACGTCACTTGACAATCCAATTCAATCCTGCCAACCACGAATTGCCAGAATAATATGATAACCTATGCGACTGGGTAGACAGACGGACAAGATGTGTGAAGTGTGAAGTTGCCCCGTGGGAATCTCGAAATTTGTATTATATGTTCAAGTTCTAAACCATCCTATCCTATCATTGAGGTTCATGTTCAGACGTCCTCTTTTTCCTCCGTTTCTTCTTATCCTTATCCTTGTTCTCGGATTCACCCCCCTCAAGCGTCGTAGCCTTCTTCTTGCTCTTCTTCTTCTTTTTCACAAGCTCTCCCTCAGCCGGTGTCCCTTCTAATCCAATCCGCTCCGACGCCCGCTGCATGCGCAAACGCACCTGTTCTACGTTCTGCATCGCTTCCCTCATCTCCCTATCCCCTTCATCACCCGCAGAGACAAGACCAGGCTGTTGATATTCACTTCTCTCCAGAGTGCTGGAATCAACTTGAAGTAAACCACGTCTGTTGCTGCCAGCGCCACTATTGCCCCTCGGGGAAGAGGAAAGGTCTTCAACGCCTAACGTTTCGTCGGCCGCAACCTCCATCCGTCTGGGCTGGTGTCTCCGGACCTCGGGAATATCACGACTCGTAAGGCTCTTCCCCGCGTCGTCAAGTTTCAGGTCGATGATGGGAATATTGTCGATATCTAGACCGCCTTCATAAGGGGCTCCTGGCGTGGATGTGCCAGAAGAGTTATTCCCCCCGACAGGCGCAATATAGAATGGATCATTTTGATAGCGTTCCCGGCGTTCGGCCTTATGCCCTGTACCGGCACTTCCCAAAACATTCTGATATGAGGTGTCGAGGTAGCTTGCCGCGGTGGTTAAGTCATGAATTGGCTTATTGGCGGGCGGAGAAGCATCGGTAACGTAATAAAAGTCCTGCAGTCCGCTGTGTGAATTGATATCCGATAGCGAGCCATTCTTTAGACGATCGAATAAATCCGGTAAATCATCGTTGAAAGGCTCATCCAATCGTAGACTGGCAGAGAGCACGACCTTTTTCTGAGCATTGAGAGCAACAGGCTTTAACTCCAGCCCCATAAACAAGCTTGGAATAACCGAGGTGAGAAGGAAGGGCACATCTTGTCCCTCGGAGCGCAATGCATCAGCACCCAGACGAAGGACTTCTAGAAATTCAATGGCTCGTTCTTGAACATCCAGGTCCGGGTGTGCTGCCAGTGACTCAAGAAATTCGACAACGCGAGCGAGAAGAAGAGACATTTCACTCCTCCAGCTGTCTCGGCCCTCACAGTCTCTATTAGCCTGGATAAAGACCTTGGGTATAGCCTGCAGAAATAATTGAAGAGTCTTGGCAGGCAAAGATACATTGCCACCATCGATCAAGGATTGCAAAGTCCGACTAGCGCTTCGAAGATATTCCGCATATTCACCAACGACCCAGGAAACAGGGCCAAGAACATCGTCTCCCACACTCGAACCGACAGGGAAGAGGAGTGGGCGGTTATCAATTAGCAACAGGGATTCAGCAGCCCTGCACGCTTCCATGCGTACTCCCTTGACTCGGACCGCGATGTTACGAATCTCCGAGCCGATGCGGAATGCCACGGTCGTCTTGATGGGCGAAGACTCTTGAGCTTGGCCCAGTTGGGGTGCGTTCCAGTAATCATCCGTTTCTGCCAATGGAAGAAGGCCAACGAGCTGGACTAGAATATTGACATACCACTCAAAGTCCTCGATTTCTGAGTAATTGCTCTGTGAGCAGATGTCAAGAATGCGATGTACAACCTCGGTCCGATAGTCGTTCGGTAGGACCTTGACGGTCTCTGTGCTGGTCGTGGGCGCGTTGTTTTCTTCAAAATCTTCATCTGCCACACCCGGCGCGTCTGCCGAAGCTGAGAGCGGGGCAAATCGAAGTTGCTCGACGAGACGATTGACCACTTCCTGAAGGGTGTCGCTGGTGACCATTCCCGCAGCAAGCTCTAGGGCCTGTAGTCGGATTGATATATCCGCATCATCCAGGCACTCCATGATAACATCCTGTTGCACCGATACTAACAAGGGGTGCGTTGTGACGATCCGATTTAATGCGAGGAGAGCAACATATTTAACTGTATCATGAAAATGGTGAGAAATCGAAGCAGATGGTTAAATCATAAGGATGGGAGCACTCACGGTTGGGATCCGAGTCTATAACGATCATGCCGCGAAGTTTGCCGACGCAAAGACCGGCAACCTCGTCTCGTTCTTGCAGATTATCCTCTCCATCGAGAATGCCACCTTGGATAATGCCATTGATACATTCGTATAGCAATGACATGGCCGTTGTAGTTTGAATAATATTGGTCAGCGGTCGTAGAAGCTTTCGTGTTAGTCGCGGCTCTAACGGCGTTAAAGTTGCAAACTGTTTGAAAGGGGTCAGACAGAGCCAGGGAGAATGGTATGGATTGTAACTTACGAGTTTGATGATCTTGATAGCCATCCAATTATTGCCGCTATCCACAAGAAGTTCGAAAAGCCGCGGGGCCAAAGGAAGAAAATCATGCGGACGTCGCCATCCAAGCTCGCATACAACGTTGATCGCAGCTGTGGTCACACTGGCATCTTCTTGATCGTCCATAAGATGGTCCTTTATTCTAGGCCATGCAAGCTTCAACGCCTCGGGGTAAACCAACGAGATTCTGTAGAGGGTAACGATCGTTTTCTTGCGGACCACGGGACTGGAGTGTGAAAGGCGAGATAAAATGTCGGGAAGTAGAGACATGGAAAGTGATGGGGTGATGATATGTGGCAGCGTCGCCAGTGGTAATGATAGTCCGGGAATATTGGGTGACACAATGTCCTGCAATATGTAAGCCAAGATGACACTTTGAAAAGAGATCCGGATGAATATCAGAGGCATACCTTCTTGAGCATGTTCGTTGCCAGCATTAGGACCTCCGTATCCGGCCTAAAGCTCTGGACAGCTCCAAGGTAGCCGACTCGTTTCTGAAGATATTTTGCCGAAGACATGACCTCCAAGACATTGAAAGCCGCCCATGACATATCGTAACCGAACATCTCGAGATATATGAGCTTCAGTAGAGCTGTGGCCTTTTTATCTGCACGTAGAATGTATATTCAGTATACTTGGTCGTGGCGGTCGCGGGGCGGGACACAGTGGCGCCTACCCATATCCTGTGATTTGATCTCAGCCTTGCATTCGCGCAAGGCATTCTGAATGTATTCATCTTCCGCGCCTTTATGGTTCCGAAGACCCTTGATCAGGTCATAGAGGGATTTCTCGAACCTAGAGATTGCGTGGAGTCATGTTAGAAACCATCGAACTGAACAAGAACCGGCCGATGTCGATCCAGTCATACTCACATCGTGTATTTTATCACCCGCGTGGGGGGGGCGCGAGTCTCAAATGTGCAATCCTCAAAATATTTGCAACAGTTTCTCCCCAGAGCACAACAGTATGGACTGCACGAGAGCTCCCAAGGAAAGACCACGCACAGTATGGGAATGGGAAGCTCCGCTGGGTTGACGTGGGGAGCGATAAGGATCACGGGACCGTGTATCGGGATTCCCCACCGGCACTCGGGGACATTACCTTAGCATTGGCATTGACATTAACATTGACACGGACAGCTACACCTTCGTCCTATTCCTCCTCAGCATTCCCAACTCAATTGCAGCTTCTCCCTAAGATCAATATGGGTGCCCCTGTCGATGTTCGCGAGATCAATGGATCCGACCTGATCTCTGCCCTCCACCTGGCCCAACAAGCCCCGGCCATCCTCGGCCCCAATCCTACGAAAGCGACGACATCAACTACAGGTACGGCGGAGGAATACAGTCAACTTGAACAGCTTTTCCTTGCCTGTCTACGAACAGGTGATGATCAGTCCGCGCAAGCATGCCTTGATCGACTCACCCACCGCTTCGGCCCTGCCAACGAGAGAGTAATGGGGCTCTGCGGGTTGTACCAGGAGGCAACCGCCAAGGATCGTGCAGCTCTAGAAAAGTGTCTTGAGGAATACGAGAAGATTTTGTCCGAAAGTCCAGTCAATGCGGTTCGTTCTGATCCTTGTCAACCTCTCCAACCGGGGTCTTCCTCGCCTACCTCAGGGTCACCTTTTGCTAATCTGTCACCACTGGCTAGCCCATCATGAAGCGGCGAGTAGCCCTGCTACGCTCCCTCGACCGTCCCACCGATGCGATCGCCGCCCTGATCCAACTACTAGATGCCCTGCCCACCGATGCGGAAGCCTGGTGTGAACTGGCCGATCTATACCAATCCCAAGGACTGGGTTCTCAAGCAATCTTCAGCTTGGAGGAAGCGTTGCTGATTGCTCCCAACGCCTGGAACGTATGATGACGACCTGACCTAAGCTATCTTGCTTGCTGCCTGTCAGATTTTGATACTGACGAATATGCAGATTCACGCCCGGCTCGGTGAGCTCTTGTACGTCAGCTCTTCGGCTCCCGATAGCGACGCATCGCGACTTGGAAGTAAATCGGTGCAGCATTTCTGCCGTAGTATCGAACTTTGTGACGACTACTTACGAGGATTTTATGGGTTGATCCTGGTACACAGTCCCACCTGACCTGGTTTCTCGCAGCCTGCTGACTTTGACCTCTTTTTCTTCTTCTTTTCCAGGCAACCTCCCGAATGCTCGAGAACGGGCACGCAGACGAACGCCCATCGGACCCAACCGTCGCCCCCAAGAAAACGCTAGACCAGTTGAAAGGCTTTGGTCTCCAGCGGCTTAGAGAGATCGTCGAGTCTCGATCGGTCGATGATCAGCATTGGGCATCGAGTCGCAGTGAGCTGATTGCGGCCAAAGAATTGCTGAATCGGTTTGCGTCTTCATAGTTGGGGCAGGGTTTTTTTTGGGATTATCATTTTTGTTTTCCTTTTCCTTTTTCTGTTTATCATCTTCTTCTACCATTCCCACTGTTGTTGCGCTCCTGTACCAAATACTCTCGTGGATACCCTCACCTAATTATGCCAGTTGTCAAATGCAAAAAGATGGCCTAGACCAAGTGGCAGCCTCCAGTCTAATTGCACTAAATCCCCACCCTGCATCTCGCATGGCAAGTACATACAGCTGACTCGTCTGATCCCAATTCCAGATCGTTCTACAAGTCTCCGGTTGAGTATGATTGGGCACATTTGGGCAGCCGATCCATCTGTTAGACATCGGAGTTTACATTAGATATGCAAAGAAAAGGGAAGAGAAAAAAAAGGAAAATTAGGAAAAAATTAGAAAAATAGTAACAAGGAAGAAAAAAGAGAAAAACCAAATGAATCATACATGAGTACTGCCCTACGACTAACTAAATTGACTGTTGGTTACACATCATGCCCAACTCAGCCCAATAAAAACGGCAGTCGGGCCAAAACACCCACACGTCAAAATCTGCTTCTTTTCCCTTTTCCTTTCCACCTTTTGCCCCCTTGACTTTTGGTCTTTTTTTAATTTTTAATATTTTATACTTTTTGTTCTAGTAGTTGTAGTCAACACTACTGCTTGACTACTTGACTATTTTGGTACTAAGAATCCTTTACGCAAGGGGATCTCTTTTAGTCTAAGACAACTCACAATCTAGCGGGGCTCTTTGTCAAAGAGTCTTTTCTTTTCTTTCCCCCCCCCGCGTCTGCCATTCTTCAACCAAAAAAAAGAGAAACCATCACAACAACAACACTCCACACTCTACCGCTACCACCACCCACCACCCACTTACCCTCCTCGCTTTGTCTAGGCGAAAGAGCGAGGGTATCCTTCTGATCGATCTCTATATTACTTACTATTATAGAGTAGAGGCTCTACCTTTATGACGTATGTTTTGGCCGACTTCCCCCCCCCCCTCTTCCCTTCCCTTCCCTTCCCTCCCCTCTCTTCTTCTTCCCTCCTAAACTTTCCCTCCTTCTTACCCGCATATACCACACTCCCCCTTCTCCCGCACACCCCCTTTCTTCCTTTCTTCCTCTTCTCCTCTCCTCCTCTTCTCCTCTCCTTCCTGGCTGACTCCGCCCCTCCCCTTCAGGTACAATATCTCGATTGGGCGCCTAGATCCGGACGAGGACGATCAGTTCCTGACGGACGAGGAGGACTCCTCGGGTGTGCATGTTGTTGCGCCTTCAATCCCAGGAAGCCATGATCCGGAATATGACGATTGGGCAGACGTGCCATACCCGGAGGATATAGTAAAACCTTCCGATTCAGCATCTCGACCACGAACCTCCCAACGCAACCGTTCGATCCACGGTTCGCGCTCGGCTTCGGGCCGTCGACCACAATCGCGTCGACACATGGACCAGTATCCCTCTTCTCGAGCCCGCCAGCGGCAGGCTTCTCCAGAGTCTGCCGGCAGTGGTGATTCAGAAGACTACGCCGCCCACTATGAGCAACGACCTCCTCGCGGAAGCCGCTGGCCACAAGCTCCCCAGGTCCCCCCTCCACCACCAAACAACTATGCGCCAAGTGCCGCCTCTGGCCAATCCTTCAATGGATATCCCCCCCGGTGCCCATCCTGGCGCTGGCTACCCTCATCCCAATGGCGCTATGCAGTCAGATTCGCTCATCCGACACGCCAATCCCGGGGCTCAGCCATATGGCTACCCTTACGGTCACCAATACCCCCCAGGCCGGCCCCCATGGGGCCCCTCCCGGGATGCATCCATTCTACGCGCAAGACCCAGCGCATCGACAACACCCCTCCCGCCCGCCTCCCCAGGTGCACAACCCTAACCAACAACCATTAGTACACCCAATGGCCATGCACGGCACGCCGTCGCCATACGGTGGCTCGCCTTTCCAGCACGAAATGGTTCCCTATGGCGCCAATGGGTACTACAACTACCCCCGCGACCCGCGCGACCCATACGCAATGATGGCCGCCATGCAACATCCGTCTTATTTCCCACACTTCCCACAACATTCTCCGGTTCCACCACCCGAGCCCGTCCCGACTCCTGCACCTGCAGCGGCTACTCCCGCCCCAGCTCCAGCTCCAGAACCCGCTCCACCCCCGCCACCAGTCGATACATCAAAGGACGAGGCAATCGCACGACTCGAGAAACTCATTCTGGACCGCGAAACCAAGGAGGCCGCAAAGGCAGCCGAAATTGAACGACAGGAACGAGAAGCTGCCGCCGCCGCAGCGCAACTTGCCCACGATAGGAAAATCGCCGGAGAGGCCGCCGCTCTTGCCCGAGCGGATGCCGAGAAAAGGGCAGCTGATGATGCCGCGAAAGCTAAAGAGGAGGCTGAAAAAGCTGCGGCTGTGGCTGCCGCGGATGCCGCCACTGCTGCTACCGCTGCCGCAGCTGCCGCAGCAGCAGAAGCGGCGGCGGCAAAGGCAGCAGAGGCTGAAAAGGCCGCCGCACCAAAGCCACCCGCTGAGAAGAAGAAACCTATCAAGTTCAAAGATGCTGTGGGAAGGAAATTCAGTTTTCCTTTTGAGCTTTGCGCGACATGGCAGGTAAGAATGTCCTCCGCCAAACAACCCTTTTCAGGGAAGAATATAAGCTAACACACTTGAATAATCAGGGAATGGAAGATCTAATCAAACAAGCCTTCCTTCACATCGAAGTGATCGGACCACACGTTGCAGAGGGCCATTACGACCTGGTGGGCCCTAACGGCGATATTATTCTCCCTCAAGTGTGGGAGACGGTAATCGAGCCCGACTGGAGCATCACCATGCACATGTGGCCTATACCCGAGAAGCCCAAGGATCCTGATCCACCTCCTGCTGGAGAAGCCCCCGCTGAACCTCCAAAGGATGCTGCGCCGGCTGGTGCGGAGGCGCCGAAGAAAGCTCGTAAGTTTTCCCTATGATCTATGCCTTGGGGTATATACCCATTCTTCAAACCATTTCAGACACTGACAAGATAAACTACAGCTCCCAAGAAACCTCGTCCCCCTCCCGGCCAGCCTGGTGGCTTTGCGAGCTGGATGATGGGAGGTCGGAAACCTCCTAGGGGAAAAGCAGCTCCCAAGAAGCCTGATGCGGCTGCGGCTCCAGCTGCTGCCCCGGCCCCGGCTCCAGCACCATAGTCTGGTCTACGATACACAGAATATGGCTCAGCACACGCACATGAGAAACCTTCCTTCCTTGGTCACTGTTCGGCAGAGAACTTTCGTCTTTGTCGAGGAATTTTCTCCCCTTTCTTCAGGGCAGTCAGTCAACTCTAGGATCAGGGAACCAGTTACTCCTCTTACAATTGGCCGTGGCCGAGCAATCCCATGTTGCGAGCCATATTTTATCTTCCTTCTATAGCCACGAGCCTAGGCTGCGATTGGATATTCGTTTGTCGGCCTCGGCCTCGGTTCCTCGGGCCTAAGCGGGCCGGAGCGCCATCAGCTTCCCAAGGGAAAGCAAAGCAGAAATATGGGATCAATGGATGGAAATGCTGGATACCGGACCGGACTGGACCGGATTGGACCAATGGGAACCGATGTCCTGGCTTGTGATTGCAATCTCACTTTGGCAAACCAACCCTCATCTAATCCCCGAGGCGCAGATACATATACATGATTGGATTGCTCTGCATGCCTTGGGGTGGGGAGGGGAATTGGTCAAGCCTTGAGAATGTTGGGTCTGGGCCTGGGTCTTGCTGGGCCAAGCCAAGCTCTGCGCCTGTCCGTGTTGTCTGGTCTGGTCTCTACCGTCTACCTTCGATCTGATCTGAAGATGCGATGCGATGCGACGAATCGATGAATTGCAGAAATACATTACATTACACTACACTACTATGACGAAATGAAAATGAAGTACCGATTGAATATATCCCTTTGAAAGTTCTATACTAGTACTAGTATGTAGTAAAGTATCGTATATTGTAGAGCCGGGCTACTGGAAGCTAAACTAAGCCAGGAGAGTCTGACTCGGGATCGAGATATTCCAAGATGTAGACAGCTCTTAGAGAATCCATCCACCACATGATGTTGATGTTGATACTGATGTTATGTGAATCCAACAGTATTGAAATTGTAAAATCGAATCCCTACTGAGGAAGAAGTGGCTTCCACTCAATAGATTCATTCGTGCTATCACCAAGGAGATCCATCATGCTCGCCCGACTCATAGTTGCGCCGTTCGTAGGTGCTGGAGTCGACGTTGATGGTGACGGTGACGGACTCGACCTCGACCCCCCTGCTTGCGGCACCTTATTCTGAGAACTCAGTTTGATCGGTTTACGCGGAATAGCAGGTGGTGATTTCGGAGCTGGAGCTGGAGCTGTTGAGTTTCTCTCTCCTCTCTCAGTGATAATGGGGGATTGTGATGATGATGATGCTTCACTGCCGAACGTTCCGGTTCGTGGGGGGGAGACTTGGCGGGTTTCGGCCAAGAGGGGATTGTGACGATGATGCTTCACTGCCAAAGGTTCCCTGTCGTGGGGAGGAGCTGGGGGTTTTCGATCAAGTTGGCTGGACCGACGAATATCCGGCTGTTGTATCCAATCGGGTTCGGCATCTGTTGTGAATGGATTTGAGGAGCGCTGGCCATTTGGCACGAGGCCTTCTCCTGGGGGTTTGATGGTTGCTTTTACGGGGACGCCTAATGGTGATGTTAGCCAATGTTTGAGAACCCTAACTGCGTCTCCCGAATCCCCAAGGAAGAAGAAGCAATAAATATTCTCTGAGGGGCGACTTACCATTATCTAGCCACCACTTACTCCGATCAGAACTAGCTGGCGGTAGACCTGGGGCAATAGGGTCCTGGGACATATTCTCCTCATCATCCAGGTCCAAGAGATTGATTGAGTCGGAGAGTGCATCGCGCTGCTTTTGCCCGTAGAGTTCACGGCGTAGGGAATCCTTGAGTCCGTGATCGACAACATCAACCAAGCAATCGAAACCTGCGAAGACGGGTCTGTGATCTGATATCCTCAAGTCTGCGACGTCGTATTGTGTTTGGCGCATGTTGGAGCCGCGCCAGAGGACGCGGTCACACCATGCTGGGATGCGGGATTTCTCGCTAAAAAGGGTGAGCTAACGTTTACCAAGGGGACAGGAAGGGGAGGGGGTCTTACGAAGTGTCGTAGATATCAGTTCCAATGTCATACTTGTATGTTGGTGCGAATCCAATAGGTCCTTCTGAGTAGAACTGGAAGGCTCTGCCAGCGATCATTTGTAGGTTCAACTATTTCGTTCAGTCGTTAGTCAATTAATAGCCAAGAAAAAGATTGAAGATTCCATGATAACATACCTGATCGTTGTCATAGAGCTTCTGGTAGTCGCGCTGCGATATCAAATCTCTCACGATCTGATTACCCAAACCAATGCGGTAATTGAAATCTCCAAGCCAGACAACCGTGTCGTGATCGGCAATGGCCCGATTTTTCTGGAACCGGAGTCCTCGATCAATGGTCTCGTAGTCTCTATTTCTTTCGTCGTAATTTGCAAACCCAGCTGCAAGATGAGCTGTCACGAAGCAGATGCTCGTGTTGGAGAATTCAAAGCGAATGGCACAGCCTCCTTTATTTCCAGCAATTCCAGACATGCCGGTCTGCAAAGCTGTTAGCTATACATTGCCAGGAATTGAGTAGAAAAGGGAAAGGGACCAGCTACTTACCTTTTTGACAGTGCCTTCAACATTCTTGATATCCTTCAAAGCATCTGCTTTCACATAGATCATCAAAGCGGCGCCCACAAGCTGCCCACTCCTTAATAACACATACTTGCTAGTCCCATTCATTTTAGAGCGTTGATTCAGGCAGTCTTGAACAGCCCTCTCCCAAACCTTTCGCGTACCTGGGTCCGTAGACATGATCTGCTGCGGACTTAAATCCACAATTTCCTGAAAGCCCACAGCAAATATCGTAGGCTCTTCCTGGGATTCCATTGTATCAGGGAACAACCATGGCGAAAGATCAGCACCCGGACCCGCATCTCGACCATTAACATTGAACGTGCCAATCCACATCCGAGTATATCTGGTTGAGGAATATTCCGAAGCTCGTCGATTCAGTTCTTCAGTGACAAGGTCGTTCATCGGGTCATATAGGTGAACCGCGATCTGATTTGCCAGGCGGCCTAGAAGAATATCGATAGTCCTTTGCCTGGATTTATCAGTGAAGTTGTTGACATACAACCGCGTTGCACTTTTTCGCGCATCCGCCAGAGCTCCGGCCAGAGACATCTTCCCATGGCGGGTAAAGGATGACTTGAGAGCTCCAGTGCCAGCATAAATCTTCGAAAGTGCGTCGCCATTGTCGGCCCACAGGGTCGAATGTCGCATTGATAGTTCTGAGCTAAGCCTGCACCCCTGATGAGACAAGAAGGATTCCAGTGCCATTGCGCTGATTATGGTTTGGACGAGATTTGTTCGGTCCAGACAATCAAGGCAATTCGTTCGAAAGACGCCATCTTGCTGCAAGATTACAGAGGAAGCAGGCGCGCCACCTTCTCCGTTATAAACAGAAGCAGCAGGACGGGTGGTATCCTCAGATAGGAAATAAGCAAATCCATCTAGGGAGTCTGCAAGCTCATATTTAATCGCGCTACTGGCTTCATAACCAGCAGGACCACGCGTCTCTGCGAGAAAATCATATTCCGTCATTCGGAGAAGGCTAAGATGCTCGGATTTGAGCGAGCCCTCCTGCGAGTCCTCCTCCTTTTGGCGAACCGAGCTGCGGGCAATATGCTTTCGAAATTTAGCCGATAACTCCGCTTCTCCTGATCGGGTTTCGCTGAGTAGATTGACCACGTGAACTGCTCCATAAGCCAGTTCGAGAGTTTCAAAGTGTTGGTTGAAAGCGTGTTGTGTCGCCTCGCTTGATCGTGTGATTTCAATCTTTTGTTGGCCCGGAATGAGGCCTGGAGTTTGTTCCCAGAAAATAGGAATTGAGCCTCGAATTTGTGCGTAGGAGAATGCGATTCCTGGAGGGACCCAAAGAGTCACCTCGGTCTCGACAAAATTGGCCACATTGCCATCATCATCAATTCCACGGGAGTTGAATCTCGTTCCAGCTCGTCGTGACGATTGTCGCGAAATGATGGTTAGGAAGGAGGGGAATTTGCTTCGTATTTGTGGAAGAATCGGGACTGTTGCAGGGATCTTCAAGGTACTGGCATATCCTCGAATGACACAAGTCAAGAGCTGCGACGCATCGAGTTGGGCTTTCTCCGAAGGCGGCAAATGGCTGCGAAACAGAAGAAGGGGGTTTATCATGTATGAGTTCCACAGCATATCCTCATCGAGGGAGTCGATATCAAACGCGGCTGATTTGTCCGAGCTAAGACCTGGTTAGTATCTCTTGCAGATCTCTTGAAGTAAAGGATTGCTATGACAATACCGGTCTTGCAGACGATCAGTTAGATTGAAGTCTAAGCTGTAGTAAAAGCTGCCGTCGCCAAGAAGCTTCTTTAAAGCCAGAAATGGATGTTCTGTGACCATGTCTTTTCCTTCACGGTCTTCGGCCGCGAATTGAGCGCTGGTTTCGTAGTCCAGACCATACTCGTATTCCGAGCGATTCAGGCAATCTGCAGTTGTGAGTCAGTAAGAAGAGTGAAAAAAATAACAGATTTTTTTGGGTTTGTTGATTCGGCACGCACAGAAGTCTACATTATCGATCCTCGAAACAGATTCTCCTGGTCTCACAGTAGCCGCTTGAGAAGAACCGGTGACCACGCAGACGAAGACATCATCACCAAGCGTGATCATACCAAGAGTTCCATGTCCGGCTCCCAAAGAGCGATACCCATCGAGATCCACAGACGAGACATTTGCGAATTCAACCTGACACCGTGGAGGGGTCTTCGCCCCGGACCCGGCGGCGCTATAGTGGAAGATCAAGGCATGATCGGTAGTTACCAGCGCAATTGTTCGTTGAGGCTGATCTCGACAGAGAACCCGAAGATTGAACATGGCGTGGAATATGAGATCGGAAGTCTGCCCCGCGCACCCTCAATCTACCACACGCGATGCCAGAGGCTAAGCCCCAGTTGCCCAACAATGTAGCCCAATGGTTCGTAATTCCATGCGTAGCACCGAAGCTACCACAGCACACCCAAATCCCGAGAATAATTGTAAAGGGAACTAAAGGCCCAACGAGTCAGGATGCGAATGAACTGTGAGTTGTGGCAACGGAGTATTGACTGGGAGATACTCGCAGTCCGATGCCGATACCTCTAAGTGGCCCAGCTGCGGCTGAGGCCCGCGCCATGGGATTACCTAATCCTCCCATGTGTGGAACCCCTTGTTATCTTATCGGTGGATGACTCAGCTATCTCCCGCATCGCCGAAAAAATGTTAGACTTTGGCGGGTGAAAAGTTCCCCTTCAGAACGCCTCTCAGTCTCTATACCTGCACACCAATCATGGGATTAGCCGCCGCAAAGAGGTACACGAACTTCTTTCTCAACCTGAAACTCTTCTGAGATAAGCTGACTTATTTGATCCCCTTCCAGGAGAACCAAGATCTCCAATGATCCCAATAATACACAATGGGCGCGGTCCACCTCAGGCTTCGGCCACAAAATTATGAGTTCTCAGGGCTGGGCCCCCGGTGGTCGCCTAGGTGCTAAGGACGCTGCGCATGCCGATCTTTTGACCCCTGCCAGTAGCTCTCACATTAAAGTGACCATCAAGGACGACACATTAGGCCTGGGCGCTCGATTGGGTCGGGAGGGCGAACCGACTGGCCTTGATGCCTTCAAGGGACTCCTCGGTCGACTTAACGGCAAATCAGAGGAGGAACAACAAACGGATCAACGCAAGCGAGACGATGTCAAACTGGCCCGATATGTCGCTCTGAAATTCCCGGAAGTTCGATTCGTTCGCGGTGGTTTGTTGGCGCAGGAGAAAGAGGCCGTTTTACCGGATTCCGAGAGGGCGGAGTTGAGGGAGGAGAAGTCGAAGAAGGAGAAATTGAAGGAGAGCGATAAGGATTCCAGCGACGACAATGAATCTTCCACCGAATCCAAGTCCAAATCCAAATCAAAGTCCAAGTCGAAGAAGGATAAATCGAAATCCAAGAAAGACAAGTCCTCCAAGAAGGACCGATCCCGATCAACCGACGTCGACAGCTCTACCTCTGTCTCCGATGAATCCAAGAAGAAGGAGAAGAAGAAGTCAAAGAAGCGAAAGGCTGATTCTGACGAGAGCGAGGGCGAAGCTACCAAAGCGTCCAAGAAAGAGCCCGAGGCTAGCGACAAACCCGCCCCCGCCCCGACCGCTTCGCGAGAGCGACTCCCTATGGCGAGACAAATCTTCCGGGGCCGACATATTGCACAGAAGAAGAGGGCGCTTATGGATGATAAGTCGTTGAACGAAGTGAGTTTACACTACACCTCCCCAGAGGTTATGGTTATCAACATTATGGGCGAACGAAACTAATGGTGAATACTAGATTTTCATGGTGAAAGCGTAGAGCCAGATTTGCATTTTATAGAAACAACCCACTAGCGGGATGGCGTTTGGGGCATTTTCGACCAGTACATAGGTCAATTGAATCATTTATCTCTTTCAACTCTTCTATACATCAACCAAACTCATGCCGTAGTAACTAGTTCTGGAGTATGTCTGTACTCCATACAAAAAATGGAGACCTCAAATCTCAGGCCGCCGCCCCGGCCTTACCTAATTCGCTCTACCGCACCGACGTCATCTTAGTTCCGGCGAACGCGGGACCTGAACCTCCCTTCATCAAGCTCACTTCTAGAAGATGAACGGGGACGCACCTTCAGGTCGGGGACCAGTCTCATCGACTCGGCCCCCGTCCACCCGCACCACAAAACGGGACAAGAAACGGTATGCTTCAAGTCCCATCACATTGTCCCAACCTTCTCCAGCTAACTAACATCTACAGCATCCACTGGGCACCACTAAACATCGGCCTAGAACGACGTCTCCAAACACTTATCGTCCTCTGCCACACCCTAACAATCGTCCTCTTCCTCTGCAGCTTCTTCTTCACCTGCGCCATCCCCCTATTCTGGCCCCTCCTCCTCCCCTACCTAGTCTACATCTCCCTATTCTCAACAGCACCAACATCCGGCGACCTAAAGGGCCGAAGTAACTTCCTCCGCTCACTACCAATATGGTCCGTCTACGCCTCATACTTCCCCGCAACACTCCACAGAGAAGAAGAACTTCCCCCAACAAAGAAATACATCTTCGGCTACCATCCACACGGGATAATATCTCACGGCGCATTCGCAGCCTTCGGCACCGAAGCCCTCGGCTTCAAAAAACTATTTCCCGGGATAACAAATACCCTCCTCACCCTCGATTCCAACTTTCGCATCCCCTTTTATAGAGACTACGCCCTGGCCATGGGCTTGGCCAGCGTCTCACGAGAATCATGCGAAAACCTACTCTCAAAGGGTGGAGCCAATAGCAAAGGAATGGGTCGCGCCATAACAATCGTTATCGGCGGTGCGCGGGAGTCCCTGAACGCCCAACCACATTCACTCAAACTCGTCTTGAAACGACGCAAAGGATTCGTCAAATTGGCGATTCGCACAGGCGCGGATCTTGTTCCTGTTCTCGCCTTTGGCGAAAATGATCTCTATCAGCAGGTTGATTCGGATGAACATCCTATCATTCATAAAGTGCAGATGCTGGTTAAGTCTACGATGGGATTTACTATTCCGCTGTTTCATGCGAGGGGGGTGTTTAATTATGATGTCGGGTTGATGCCTTATCGTCGGCCTTTGAATATTGTTGTTGGAAGGCCGATTCCTGTTATGCAGCAGTCTAATCGGGATATGATTGATGACTCTTATATTGATGAGTTGCATGGGAGGTATGTGGAGGAGTTGAAGAGGTTGTGGGATACGTGGAAGGATGTTTATGCTAAGGATCGGAATGGGGAGCTGGAGATTATTTCGTGATGGCATGGCATTGTGGTGTCGATCGAGTACATGAGCAAAGCGAATCTCCAAGGCTTCGCTCCTGCTGGTTGATTTTTTTTGCAAGATGCATCAAGCATACTGGATGATTGTGATCATTTTTATATTTTACTTCTACTTCTACTTCATACATTACATAGGTTTTCTCCCAGAGACCTCGAGAATCAATAAATATTCTAGCATATTTGCCACTGAAAGTACCAGTAGAATAAAAATAACACAAAAAATATCAATAGTACATTGCCACGCTGGGCTGAAAATTACAGATTCCAAAATATGTAACAGAACTCACAAATAAATAAAACAATACATGAGAGGCAAATATCAAAAATAAAAAAGGGGTATCAGATCAACACACTAAACTTAACAAAAAAAAGAGGTCTACCTCCAGGGCTTCCTATCCTGTCCTGTCATAGCATAGCCTCATCATTTTGGCGGACTTGCCGGGAGCGGTGCTGTAGGAACGGGCGTGGGTGGACTTGGCTTTAATCCTCGCACCTCAGCAGACGTCGATACACGACGATTGAAATCACCAGAGACATTCTTCACCGCGCCCAGAGAGTCCCGCTCTAGATGGCCGCTTTCCACGCGGCCTTGTATCATTTCATCAAGCATTTTGGATACCTCGTCCATATTCTTCTTACGGTCTCGCTCGCCTTCCCCATCGCCGTTCTTCAGGTGTGCGGGTAGTGGCGGCGGTGGCATCGGAGTCGCACCCTTATCGATCGGGGTCGCCGGGGTCGCGCCATTGCCATGACTCGTCGTTGGAGGACTATTTGGCGCAGTTGGAATTTCCCCTTTAGCTGCGAGTGCGAGGTCTGGAGACTGTACATCACTGGTAATAGCAGCTAGATCACGATGTCTAGTCGCAGACCTCAACGCAGCGAGCATTCGATCCTTATCATCGAGTTGGATGCGAAGCTCGTTGATTTCCATATCCTTCTCGCGTAGCAAAGCGCTCGAGTCTGGATGTTCGGCAATCGTGGAAGTAGTTGACTTAACACCCACCGACATGCGGGAGTGACTGGAGCGTCGAGCTTGAAGGAGTCGTCTCTCCAGGGTAGAAATGTACCGATTCTTATCACCGAGGTCTGCCTGTAAGGCCGTGACTTGTCTTTGTAAACTTGCCTTGCCATCGCCGAATTCACCCATGTCATCGTCTTCTTCTTGGCCAAATGATCCGCCTGGGAATCCAGGCATTGGGTCATTGCTAGTGACCGACATGAAGGAATTGGGCCGCATGGAGGAGTGGCCATAGCCTGCGCCTAATGTAGATTGACTGGCTGACGACCTCAACGAGCGGGTTCCATTATCGATACTGGACATTCTTGACAATCGTCCGAGTGCCGACATGCTGCCGTGACTATTCACTCCTGTCGACTTGGAGCTCAGAATGAGACGGTTGAGATGCTCGATTCGTTCCTTGAGCGCCGTTCGAGCGAGTTGCATTTCCAAAACCTGCTCTTCGTGTCGGGCATGTGCCTCTTTCTCAAATTGCTGCTCATCCCATTTGAGTTCCTTCTCCGCCTGGGCCTTGGCCTGTGTATCAAGTTGACCACGAAGAGTTGAGATCTCCATCCGATAGCGTTCAAGCAATACTCGACTCCCTGAGTCTCCGCCACCAGCACCGTATGCCTCCTCGGCCTTTTTGGCATGACTGACAATGTTGTTCTTTGCTCGCGCGGCAAATTTGAGCGTATTCAGTGTTTCGCCGGTGTTTGCGTTGACTCCAGACACTAACTGGACAGTACAGAGAATACTGACCAGCGAGTTTCCTGACAGTGCCGGTTGAAGTAGACGCGTGAGTTTACTGTCTCGATAGGGCAAATGCCTGCCGTCCCCTGAGTTCGCCTGCTTCTCTTTGCTATCCGATAAACCGGAGATAATGTTACCCAGAGTAAGCAGAGACTTGTTGATATGAGCACCCTCCGTCCGGCGCTCCTTATCATCAGCCGCTCTCTCCGAACCCGCAAGATCGATCAAACTCAGCGTCGAAACCCGTACACCACCAGGAGCGATTCCAGCCCGCTTGTCCTGCGCATTATTGGATGGCACACGCTCCCGACTCTCAACCACAATCTGCACCACCGCATGACTTCGCGAACTGCGCGAATTGAACTGCGTACTGCTCGTCCGGCGGGAATGGTCTCCCCTCGCAATCACGCGGAGAAGTTGGGTGGGACTTTGCACAATTTCTTCCTTCAAGGGCGTGGCGTAAACACCGCGCTTGCTGTCTTCGCGTAGTTTGATCTCTTCTTGCTGTGGTGTTCCGGGCCCGTTGCCGCCAGCAGGGGCGGATAGTAGATCATGGATCTTCTCATTGTAAATTTCCAGATAACTGACCCGAAGCAGGAACTCTCGGTGCGGCGTTTCTCGGATGAAGGAAAATATATCCGTGATAGCCAAGGGAATCACACCGGGCGAGGTAGCGGTTCCTTGCATGGAAAAGGTTTTACCTGTTCCTGTCATACCATAAGCGAAGACTGTACCATGATACCCTTCCATTACCCGTCGCACGAGGCGTTTGGCAGCGGAATCATAGACCTTGGCGTTGTTTTCGTATGTGGTGAATACATTATCTAGCACATGATGTTAGTTGCGGTGGCCCATATCATTGAAATCATTTGCATGAGCGGGAGCAGAGCACCGGCCGGGACTCAACTCACCATAATAATAATCTCCTCCCTCTTTACCCCGGTACGAGACGAGACTTTGACGCCCCTCAACCGACCACTCGCCATGGGTCCTCGCAGTTTCACCGTTCGGAGCATCAGGCCGAACACGCACACTGACAATGACATTGCCTTTCGCTTCCTTGGGCTTCGAGCCACCCTCTCCTCCCTTCGCGGTACTCGCATCATCCACGTCCTCAAACGTAGTAGCACTCGTCGAACAGGATCCCTGAGCCGAGGAACTTCGGCTATGACCCGGCGAAGCCTCTGGATCACGCGCATCAGCGAGAATGGACTTTCCATCCGCGCTTCCATTCAATAACGAGGGTGTTTTCGAGCTGCGATAACTGCTGGTTGTGCCAGTGCTGAGGCGCGAACCTCGTTTAGGTTTCGTAGAACCCGTACCCGAACCCGTACCCGTGGAACCGGAGGCGGGAACCCCAGTCACACTCGACGCGGTTGAGGGTCGACTAGTATTACCTCCTGCCTTTGGCGGTTGGGGAAACGAGGCAATGCTGATGGTTCGGCGGAGAGACTTGTCGGGAGAGCTTGGTGTACGGCCGCTGGATGCTGAGCGGACTGTGGTCAGATTTGATGTGGAGTTTGAACTGGAGAGCGGCGATCGGAGAGATGGTCTGGGGCTGGATGGAGTTCGCAAGCCGGATGCTCGATAGGGAGACGCGGACCTCGGGGTACTCGTATCGGTGGCAGCGGCGGGGGAGACTCCTCCTGGGTTTGGGGGTTGGGAGTGGTGGCAATGAGCCGGCTGGAGGGTTGGTGACTGGCCGTGATGGCGTGGGAAGTGTTGATGTGGAGGCCATGGTTGAAGCGATGAACTGGGAGGCGCAATGATTCTCAGAACCTCGCCAGATATCAATTTAGGTTGTGGATGGTTGGTGAAGGCGTAACGGCCATGCGGGCAAGAATTCAACGGCGAAGTTGGCGGGTGGTTTGGAGATCGCGAAATCGGCGGGGGAAATTGGTTGGCTCTGTTGACGTTGAATCGGGTCAGTTAAAGTGAATAAGGTGGCGATAGCGGGTCGTAAAAAGCGCCCTAGTAGTGTCGGAGGGCAATTCTTCTTCCTGGAGAGCATAGGATAGAGAATAGAGAATAGTTTACACAGTCTCGGATACATACCGCTTCACAGACCATGCGTTGCGATCGCGACGGGTGCGCAAGACTTTGAATGGACAATGAAACGCCACTGCCGCAGTGTGGCCGTTGGGGGAATTCGAGTAGAGTAGAGTAGATGAAGAGAAAAGAAGATAAAGGATCAATTCGGAGAAGAACTGAGCTTGAAGGACGTGAAGTCTTGGAGGAAGAAGAGAGAGGAAGAGAAAGGCGGAAGTGAGAACTTTCCCCCGCAACCGGGAAACAGCAACGCATTGTTTTTATCTTTACTACACAGCAGTGACTACCGCAGTACCCGAAGGTACTACTTGTTCAATTATCTCCTGTATTGGCTAGTACTTGCGTTACACCTTTATCCCATCTTATCCCATCGCATCCCATCGCATCCCATGCAGGTCTGGTCTAGGTCCCTTCTCCCCCATGCCCAAGTCCCCCCCAAGTCCCCCCCAAGACCGTGCTTGCACGTACCGAAGAAAAGGGGCTGTTTTAGGAGGGCATGGCGTGGTGCTAAAATGGCAATCACAGTCTAAGTCTCGAAGGAGTCAAGGCCCGTCATCCTGTTGGTCTCGAGTCCCCGAAGCTGGAGCTGTCTGTACCCAATGATAAATTAGCAAGATGGGGAGGATCCAAGGGCCGCTGAAAAAGGGGGCGAATGACCATCGCTCACTCGTCAGGTACACACTCTGGGTACTCCATCCATCCCCCCCTGTGGAACCCTTTGTCGATTATTTGGATCTTTACTTTACTCTCTACGGAGTACAGAGGACGGGCCCAGGAACCGGTCGGGTCCCATGTGCGAACCTTGAACCTTGAACCCGTTGATCCTCCTTCAAAGTGGCCCCCCCACTGTGATTAAGGCAGTGCTAGGTCATCCCTATTTCTCCGTCTCTGTCTCCTCCTGTTTCATACTACGAGCACAGTAGTAGAGATGGGAGACATTCCATTGAGCCCTGGAGGGAGACATGACACACCCCGGTCGCGAAGGAGTGGACAATAGATGCCATCAAATGCAAGGGGATATACGGGACTACCCAGCATACGAGTAGACCCCCATCCTTCCCCCCACCACAGGGACGCGACGCGGACACTGTCGTGATAGCTTGCAGTGGACTGGGCCTCTAGTGAACAGTGCTACATGACAGATAGCGGTGCGTGCGGGTGACAGGTTGACTTGACACTTAAGTTGACTTGACTTGACATCTCTCTACGGAGTAGTTCCCACTGTATCCCGTTTGATTTCCTGAGCTGTCATTCGAGACAAGGTTGGGCAGCGAATAGTCGCTGCATCTATGCATGCGTCTTGCAGCAATTGTCACGGCATGCAAATGGAAATGATATGATCAACATGCAAGAACACGACTAAATGGGAAATTGAGGGGCCCCGAAAAAGCAAATCGGGGAGGCAGCAAAGAGATAAAAGACAGATTACGGAGATTTCCCGGCAGATATTTGGTACAGTGGCGTTCCAAAAGTTTGAAACACCCGGCAGAAAAAAGGGAGGTCTGCTCCACTAAACCCTCTGTCCTAGCGAATAGCATGTAGTGGAATAAAGACTCTATACCTAGTCTGGTAGATATTAGACTTGATTTAGCAGGCGGTAAAAAGGGCGGTCAAGGGAGTGTTTCAAACTTTTGGAACGGGACTGTACGAAGTACGAGGGTACAGTATTTCCGAAAATCGGTGTCACCCCCTACTATGCGTGATGGCAGCCTCTTTGTTTCCAGCTGATGTACGATGGCACCGTAAATAGGCTCCTCAGTAGTTACTGCTTGGAGGGGATGGCTTACGCTGCTTTCGATAATGATGACATCTACCGACCTCGCCTGCCTGATCTACGGGACCCGACTCCCTCGTATGCCCCTACACCTGACCTTGAATGGACGCCATCTGTAATCTGCTCTCCCCCGACCTCGAACTATTAATATTCAGTGAACTTTCATTACCGTCGAACAACCCGCAATCCGATCAACTGGGTTTTATGCAAGAAGGTAAGGTGGATGACGGAACATTAGATTATGTCCATTACCAGATCGAGTGGAGGGTAAAACTGATTGCGATATGGCCTTTGAAAATTGTCTGGATCTCAAACAGACCCACGATAATCAAGCTTCAGATTTCTTTGTCAAAAACGTCGTGAAAGCAGAAGCCGCCCAGCGATTTGTTAGCGATATTCCCCGCTGGGTGACGCGAAACAGAGATACGAATGAAAATGGGCTGTACTCGTAACCTCTTCAGGCGTTATGTACAATAGATAGTCATTAGAGAGCAGCTCTCACCTGCATGACTTTTTTTTTATTTTTTTTACAGGAGGGATCAAAATCAGTTTCACCACTTTGCTCTTATAGAAGCTATCTCGAACCCTAGTCCGAAACAAACCCATCCGATTCCGACTTGGCCTCATGTATTGAATGGTATTGGAAGGCATTATCACGTGCTTAGTGTTGACCAAATTACTTGTTATAATCATGCCAAAAAAAGAAAGAAAAAAGCTTTCTTCGAGCCTTTTGGGATTTTTGACGATATCTCCATCTAGTTATCACATTATTTATCACAGTTGCGAAGCTTAACGAAGCTATGAGGCTAATTCCCTTCAAATAGTGCGCACTAAGTCGATTTGTGACGTGAGATTGTTTGGGAAGTACAGTAGATACAATAAAGAATTGGAACTAAACCTCAGCCGGTACCGCAAAAAAAAAATTAAGTAAAAGAGAACGAAGAATGAGCTAACAGGGAAAAGTATCCCGCAAGAGATTGATCCAGTAGACTGTGGTTATGGACTTTCATGTACAAAAGTCCATTACCACATGCTGTCGTAAGGCCATCCATGGAGAGTGTTCACATAATGCGCGAGAATATTGAGGAAATAGCCCTCTGGAGTCCAGAGAGCGTATTGGAACTTGCCTGTTCCAATACCAGGAGCTTCATCCCAGCTGACCACGGGCATATTGACGAAATAAGTTGAGCCAATGTTGTCGCTCTTAAGGGCATCGAAAATTTCGGTAGCCGTGGCATTCTGGAGATAAGCACCATAAGTGTTTTGGAACCACTCGGCCGATTGAGCAAACTTGAGCAGATCAAGATCATAGTCGCCGAGCTTGTCAAGACCGATAGGGTTAAGCCAGTGATGTCCGATATTGTGGATTGACTGTGCGATCATGAAAATGTAGCAAGTGGGATCATCACCTTCCTCACAAACTCGAGCATCATCGACAAGGAGTTCACCCTCGAACGGGAAAGATTTGAAAGGTTTCCCATCTACCTTCCCACTTTTACCCTTGACGATAAAGACCTGTTCAGTTCCCCAAACCGAGTTGATGGCGGAGGCAGCGAAATATTTCTTGACATTCTCCTTCGCATTGTCCCAATCATCAGAAGACCACGGCTCCGCAAAAGCTCCTTTTTGAAGCACGCTAGGAGCACTATTAGGGTAATTTTGGAAGTCTTTACCCATTGAGGTGACTTTAGTTTCAAGAACACTCTTGCCAAGAGATCGAAATGTGTCTGATATAGCAGTCACGGCACTTGAAAGGGATTTTTCGAGAGAACCCATGTTGGTAAATTCTGTCTGAAGACTAATCGAAGGTCCAGATTAATTTTGAGCCGCCCAGTTAGAATGATTATAAAGAGAACTCACATATCAGTGGCCGCCTCTTCAGCCGCAGTCGCGAGGCCAGCACCCATTGAGATGGCAGAAGATCCAGCACCAACAGCTGCCGAGCATGGGCCACAGGCAGAAAGAATGGCACCCAACATTCCCATAGCAGCGCCCATCTGGGCAGAATCGTCACTCAGACCATCATTACTGACATCATGGTGTGTGAAATCAGTCACAATCTCTGCAGAGCGCGATGTCATCAGGGTTCCTAGCTCCATGACATTCTGATACATAGAGGATTGCCAGCTGTGAAAGTTCTGCAGTGCTTCGAGAATGAAATAGACAGCTGGGGTCCAATCATCGAACGCGAGACCTGAGCCTTCGCCCTTGCACTTGTCGACACTATCGGAATCAATAAGATCGCAATCATCCGTATCGGCGGTACAAGTAGTGCTCAGTCCAACAATGTGAGTTAAATACTCAACATAATTCGAGTTATCGGAGACATCATCATGATTGAACCAGATATCTTCGGGAAATTGGTCCCAGCTAAATAGCACCAGGATTTAGTCATGCCATATCCACACAGCTTTTCTGTTCTTTCCCACCTCGAGGCTGATTATAACTTACAATTGTCCAGTATACTGATTCACGTCGAACTTTTTTCCAATTCTCTGCAGTTCTTCCACCATTTTCGCAGGTCTCTTTAATTTAGTATCTTAGGTCCGTGGGACTGACAACTGCATTGGCCTCGGTTGTACTAGTTGCCTCAGAGGTCGTAGTAGTTCCAGCTTCAGACCGGGGTAAATTCCCCCGAGGAATGGCCACCGCACCCGTGGCTATTTGAGAAATCAATAAAATAAAGCCAAAAATTCTAGAATAGGAGTTGAGACTGACCAAGGACAGCAGCAAGAAATACTTTCTGCATTTTGATTAGATTATTGAACGTATCGAAGTTCAATGTTCAAATCTTTAAGGAATGGATAAAATCAAAAAGTTTCAAGACCGGAGAAGAAGGACTACTTCTTTGGTAGCTGAATGAAGAGAATAGAACTGTTCGATGGACTTCTTAGACAGAGAAACGAGCAGCTTTTATAAATTTCGGGAAATTAACCTCGCCGACATCAAGCACATTTTCATTGAATTCTTTGCGATATAGATGTGCCCGTGTGGTAGTAATAGTCTGGGGGCCAAGTGTTTTTAGGTCTGTGATTGATCAGAGTCCACTTGCCCTGTCTATCTTCTACTACATTCGGTAATTTGGATGTTGGGGGATATATACATTAGGCGGACTACAATAATGCCAAGCCAACTAGAAGTGGACTCAAACCACATATCGGCAGACCTAACGCACCAAGCCAAGCTTTGTGGCTGTATTTTTAGAAGATTTGCGGCTCTTGGCGTCCGATGGACATTCATTTTGAGTCATCGTCTATTAATCCAGGGGGGCCAGAAGACTCGGGGCCAGTACATATTTAGTTAGCTTTTCTCTTAGTCTTTCGCAGTTTTTTCCATTTTCATAATTCCCTTCACTACTTTAATGCAATAGTGGTCTATCTCTACTACAACATGGTTGCATTGGTGGTTGTGGAGAGTGAATAATCTCTTTTTCAATGACCAGATACATAATTTGGCCCCAAATCAACAAATGCGTTTCCTCATACGACTTAGCATAGCCTTCCCAGAAGTTTGTTTACAGTGAAGAGAAAATCGATTACCCAACTAAATTGCGGGAGCTGCAGGAGCTGCGGAAATCGGGAGAGGAGTTACAGTCACGATCATGGTTAGGACCGCGATGAAGGATTTGACAACGTCCCAGACAAGCGGTTTAGTTCTCAAGAGGGGAAAATGGAATAACTTGAAGTTATTACAGATTATCCTGATTGGTTTATATACAAGACCTACAATCTCACATATACGATTCTTTTGCCATGGTCCTATACTTCGAGGGGTTTGAATGGACCATGAGCAGTGAGTTTTAGTAAGTGTCTACGCAGAAGTCACCATGGCTGCTGTATATATAGTTGGTGGCTTGGATTCCTCAAAGATTGACCAGATTAATTGTAACGTGAGCCCGGTGAATATATCAGCGCTTCAAACCAGGATCTCGCTCAGCATCTTCAGGATTCGTGACGACCAATAAAGGGGCAGCGAGGTGTCTCAGCCACCATGTAATTCCATCTTTCAATTAATACAGTAAATTTTACCAGATGGAAAGAGACCTTGGTGCTGACGACCACCTTTGAAGTACAATATTCTATACCATATATATTGAAAATTCCATGCCGCCTACTGGCAGGTCCGAAATGCCGTCCCCATAACCGTAGTTAGAAAAATACTATTGTAGTAATCAGTCTCCTAAAGTCAGTATTTTTTGCTGTATACCAAAAAGACTGTAACTAGTTAAACTACGGTATCCGAGTACATTAAGTATATTACCCGCTCTTTACAGCGCGTTAAACACGCCACGCACTACGACGCGCTATAAAACAACATACCATAAAATAATGCCACCCACGTTGTACATACAAAACTTAGCCCCTGAGGCCAGGAGACACTTCAGTAGCAGTCTGGCACCCCAATATATGCCTCCAATTATTCATGTCTATTCTCATTCAGTACTAGCACAGACGAATGTACTCTGAGCCGACACATATTTCCTCAATAGGTCAAGCTGTTTACAGCGTAAGCACAGCGTTCTGAATTAGGACCTGGGTTAACGAAAGTGGTGCTGCACCTAGGAGGAATGAAAAGCAAAGCCAAACCAAGCTGGCGGCAAAGAGGTACATAAGCCAGCGGGCGATCTTGCCAAATTATCCAAATCTACCAAGAAATCCTAGACAGTTCCATGTACTATTATAACAGTGACTCAATATTGGTGACAAAATCAATACAAGACGGTTCTGCCGAAACAAAAGGGCATAATAAGCGTCTTGCGGACTTTTTTCCAGGAAATCAAGTCGTAAGAGAGCAGAAGTATAATTGACATCTAATACTACTGTGAACAGAACCCAAATGACACTTCTTCAGCTAAAACTTTCTCTGCAAATCTTCAATATCAATACCTGCGTTCTGAAAATGACCTATTGCGCTCTACTTCTTTTCCCTAACCTTGTCAACACACCAGTCGAGGGAGTAATCGAATCCTTAATCTAGATTTTCGGCGTAAGACTAATAACGCCGAATGAGGCTTTTAGCTCCGCAAAGAACTCTTCAATTGGGTTCAAGCCGGGGGAGTATGGGGGTAAATAGACTAGTTTGACTCCTTTATCAAAGCACAGTTGCTCGATTCTCTCGGAACGATGGAAGGATGCATTGTCTATGACGAGAACTGACTTAGGCGCAGGGTACTTTCCCCAGTGATGGAGGAGCTCTTCGAAAAAAATTTCAAAAAAAGAAAGCATCTGTCTCTCTTTTAAGGCACGAGAGAGTAAAACCCCGTCTTGTGTATAGGCAGGGAGAATCTGATACCGTTGATCGCGATGGAATTTTGACACCTCTACGGGGGTTGTACTGAGGGGAGACCAGCTATTTCTTCTGATTCCTGTCCGCTTATCACACCCAGATTCATCTACGTAGAGGTAGTATGAGCTAAATTCTGAGATTAGATAATAGTAGTCATCGCGTAAATCTGGGTTGCGCTCTTTTCCTTTCTGTCGAACTGTATTTTTGGACTACCCTATGCGATGCAGGGCATCGCTGATCGTGGAATTTGGTACGGATACATCAAATTCATTAAGAAGGAAGAGCTCCATCTCATCAAGGTATGAATCAGGGGTTTGGAGTAAATGATCACACAGAGTTTCCAGCATGAACGGAGTGATGCTCCGTGGCCGTCCAGCTTTGATAGTAGGAGCTTCGACCCTACCGAATAGTCACAGGTTAGACCGAATCCTGGCAATAGCGCGCTCACTGCAGCCTGCAGCTGCCGCCATCTCCGAGCTACTTAGTTCATCACTGATAATCATATCACGGATTAACACGAGCGTGGACTTTGCTAGGTTGGGAGCCATGGTTTTTTGCACCGCCGGTGGAAGTGCTAACCAGGAAACCGAGGTGAGAAATGGGAAAGTTGACGTGGGGCACTTAGGTCTGCAGCTTCTTGTCTTGCAGGCATTAAACAATATTTCCCGCTAATATAATAATCCGGTAAGTTACGATACATTCTTAAAGCGAATTAGGCTGACATAGCTTCTTCAAAAATAGTTGTGTCTTGGCGTTTAGGGTTCGGGGAACAATGAAAGAGTGTGGGGGTGACATTGATTTCCGGAAATACTGTACTCCTGGGCCCCCAGTGAGCTCGCACTGGGCGACAGTCCTCGCCAGGCTGTTGGGACAATGGATTCATACCTTCTCGTGGTGTCCGGTGTTAATCCCCGTTGGGGAGACCAAAGTGAATCCGACGTGGTTGTGCGGTCCGGCCCGGCGCGGTGGGCGCGGGCACGACCGCACAACCACACCAAAAATCAGGGGAAAACGGCATATGAAAACCATCCGACTTCTTCTTACCCGACTCGCACTCGGGCCCAGACGCTGGTCTTGCATTACCAGTTGAAGTGGTGTCGCCCTAGGAAGAAGACAGGACACCCCTGAGCTTGCATACGGTCTGGGATCGCATCGTGCGAGATGCGGCGAGGCGGTAGTGAACCAGCGACGCAGGCAGTCAAGCTAACATCGGACAGACCTCGTTCAAGGCCCAGAGGCCTCGTTAAGACTCGAACTCGTTAAGGCTCGGAGACGTCGATTACTGGAGACCTCGTTAAGGCGAAGCCACGGGCAAGCTCTGGTGCGGCTGTCCTTCAAGACACGGGCACCGCCGAGACACGGGCAACCCTCTTGGGAGACACACGGGCAATCTGGAAGATATTGGTGGTTGACTGATGGCAACTGATGAAGCTCGTTAAGGCTGTGCCACGGGTAAATCATCGGCCCTGTCCAGTCACTGGGGACCAAGCTTGGTTAGTAGAGAGCAACCGACATACACTGCCGGCTGGAGCGTATACGAGGGCTCTCTGCAAGACACGGTCGGCCTAGTGGAGGGAGACCTCCCTAGGTAACGCGAAACGAGAGCAACAGCTCTCGCGGGCGTGGTGTACAATGGCAGCCACTGTGGCAGGGCTGGGTCCTGCCAAGAGACTGTTTGTATAGCCCGAGAGGACGGATGCGCGTGTCGGTGTACAAAGAGACGGGAGTCAACTACCTCACTCGCACTGGGGGCCTGAGACTGACCTAGGTCGGTTGAAGCGGTGTCGTCCTAGTTGGCCTGCCCATGATGTATGCTTAAGGAGCAAACTAAGAGACACCCAGGGTGAGGGGCCTGGTGAACCTCAAGAGTCCAGAAACCTCAATTATCGGGTGAAAAACTGGGGTAGTGGTCTATGCAAGTAGGCCTGTCAAAGCTACTTAATGTCTTTTGGACCGACCCACCGTGCAAACAGACGCGGCCCGGTTCCGCAGCCTAATCTATGTAAACCGGAACCTATCGACCTCTTCACACCGACAGGTCCCATGCGACCACCCCGACATCACTGCCGTCAAGATCCGGACAGCTGAATCCGAGACCCTTGTCTTCTCGGTTTACATCCCGCCCGTCCCGCTGTACGCCCCAGAGAACGCTTCAGCAGAGCCAGCACTCACCGCAATTCAAAACACAATCTCAAACACGACTCAGGATAATCAGAGATCCACAAAC